TGGGGAAAGTTGGGCAATTATTTGGGCCTGTGGTTTGAAATTGAAGAAGTGGCCCAATCCGATTTTTCTTTGTATTTTTGTTCTCTTTTCTTCTTTTATTTTTCTAAAACTAAATTATAAAAGTACTTAAATTATTATTAAGAACTAAATTAAGTTATAAAAGCGCAAATTAACTTCCAATAACAATTAACGCACAATTAAGTAATAATTAAGCATAAAATTGTTCATTTGGACATTAAATGCTAAAAATGCAAAAGAGGCCTATTTTTGTAAGTTTTAATTTTTGTAAACAAATTTAATTACTAACAATTGTAGAATTAAATCGTACATGCAAAAATGCGACATATTTTGTATTTTTTATTAATCAAATAAACATGCATAGACAAACATACAAATAGTTACACAAATATCACAAAAATTGCACACCAAGAAAAATTATTTTATTTTTGAATTTTTTGGGAATAATTCTCATATAGGGCAAAAATCACGTACTTACATAGATAAGCAATTTTTGTGTCCTTATTGTTCAAGGTTTCTATCCATTGGCATGTCTCCACTTATAGAAATGTTTTACTCGTAATTCAATAATTTCTCCGAGGAAACCAACCAAGACAAAGAGCCAATAAAGAGCACAACTCCAGTGCATTCAGAAATTTGAAAGAAAAATAAGCTCTATAAAAAATAAATTGCACAAAAGAACTGGATAGGCAAAAAAGAGGAATAAATCTGAAGTAATAACGATAATAGACTTGCTTCAGGAATAGTGAGTTGTTTGAAAAATATACACTCACAACCTCGTTATTCTATTAGCTCTATCTCCCAAAAAAAAAAACTTAGGGTTTTAAATAGTCTCCACTAATCCTATGTCAGAACGTACAAAGTTTAAAACATTTGTTTTATAAAGGTTGTGTTACCTCAAACCCATGACCTATTACAAGTAACAAGTAGCATCCAGCCAACAAGCTACTGGACTGCTTTGTTCAAAATGGTGTCCTCTTTATTATTTGTACTAATACTTCCTCTTGAATTATATAGTAAAAAATTTCGACCGCTGACACCGTTTGGATCAACGTAAATCCGCCCCTGTATGGGGCACAAGTAAGATTTTTCTCATATTTGAATTTCATACCTAATTATTGAGATATTTACTTGTATGTCCTTCTTAAAGAATTATTAAAATAAATAACACGACTTCTTCATATATCAAAGATAATTTAAATAACATGCATGCATTTATAGCAGACTAATTGAAATTTCGTAATTTAGGAGTTAATTCCCCTTTTCTCTCCCCGCAACCTAATTTCTCTCTCTTTTTCTTTCAACCTTCCTTCCTCTCTTCATCTCATCTCCGGGTAAATTTCATAAATGGTCATATAACTATGACATTTTTTCACTAAAGTCATATAACTTTCTTATCTCACACAAAAATAATTCTCCGGTTGTTTTTTTAGTATTCTGCCTTTTTTTTTCTTTAAATTTAGTCTAATAAATTATGAATCAATTAAAATATCCATGACGCGACGCGACATCCATATCCACAAATTAAAATATCCCCCAAATTCGATATTCTCAGCTGTTTCTCAAAGTGTTTTTTAAGGCTCTCAAGCAAGGATCATCAAAATACATACTACTATCTCAATTCTCTTCTCAAGCAACGTTGTTTCAAGGCTCTCAATCAGCAGTCTTTCAGGGCTCTCAAGCCAAAAAGATGGCTTCTCCTCCATCTCAGAGGAGTACTTTAAGGGACAACCATAATACTTTTGCTGAACTTAGTGACCACACAAATGCTTTTGCTGCACTAGGAATGACTCCAAAAGAGGTAAAAATTATTATTTTTTGTTTGTGTTGCCTTTGTTAGTTTGAATTTTAGTTGGCGACACTGATTATGGTGTAGGATTTTTGCTTTATTTTAGAATTTTTGTATATTGTGACAATGAGTGTGGGCTAGAGTTTATCTTTATTTTAGTATTATTTTGTATATTTGGATACTAATTATGGGGGTTAGGATTTTTTGATATTATCGATTTTTATTTTTGTGCTTTTAAATTGCATGTATGTCTCGGGTTCAAGTATCAATTTGGGTCTCCCGTTCAATGAAAGCTCTGAGGCTGCTGTGTTGAATTTTGAAATTTTTTTGAGTAGAATTCAAGATGGTAAGAGTGTTGGGGATGGTAGTTATGATGACGACTTTAGTGACCCCGACTATAATTTGGAAGATAGTGATGATGACTTTGAGGATGTAATGGCTGAGCAAGTAACAACTCAAAAATTAAGTAAGAAAGGGATGGGAAGACCTAAGAAAGGATCAAGTAGTGTTCTATCAACTTTTAGCATCCTTATACCAGTAGAGAATGACAAATATGACTCGGATGTTGTTGAATCAGAGGAATTATCAGACGGGAGGATATCTGATAAGGAAGGTGATAAAAAGGAGGCAGTTCACTATGAAGAATACGATGAGCAGAAACATAAATATAATCCAAGTTTGGAACTTGGAATGAAATTTAGTAGCTTAAAGCAGTTTAAAGATGCTTGTAGAAATTATGGTATTAAAAGCAGGTTTTAGCTTAAATTCTCTAATAACAACCAGGAGATAGTGATATGTAAATGCAAACATAATGGGTGTCCTTTTAGAGTGTATGCTACTGCCGTGAGTAAGACTGATCCAACTATTCAGATCAAGTCTTGTAATTTGGAGCACATAGGTGGAAATGTGTTTGACAACTTCCATATGAATACTGCGTGGCTTGCTAATAGGTATTTTAGTGCATTTAGAGCTAGTCCATCATGGAGCGTGAATGGTTTAATTGAAGCTGTTAGAAATGACTATAGCTATACAATTAGTTATATGAAAGCTTGGAGGGCCAGAAATATGGCACAAAAATTGGTTTATGGAGATGAGGGAACCCAATATGCAAAGCTGTTGCCATATAGAGAGGAATTATTAAAAAGCAATCCAGGCTCTACTGTAATTTTGTGGAGGGACGAAGGCAGATTTCTTGGGTTTTATGTTTGTCTTGGAACACTTAAGAATGCTTTTAAATCTGGTTGTAGATCATTCATTAGCTTGGATGGTTGTTGGTTAAAGGGAAATTATGGAGGGAACTTGTTGAGTGCAGTGGTTATTGACCCAAATGATTGCATTTTTTCCAATAGCATATGCAGTCATAGCTAAAGCTGAAAGTAGAGAAACTCGGAGCTGGTTTCTTATTAACCTGGGAGAGGATTTGGAGATTCAGAACAGCCATCACATTTCATTTATGTCAGACAGACAGAAGGTAATATTATTTCTTTAGTATTTTACTCTGTTTCTTTATATTTTATTTATTGTTCTTTTTTTTTCATATTTCATAATATTCTTAAAGGGGCTGATTGGAGCTGCGAAGGATTTATACCCTAATGCTGAACACCGTAATTGTGTTAGGCATATGTATCCGAATTTCAGACAAAAACACAAAGGTAAGAATTTGAAAGACTTAGTTTGGAGTGCGGCAAGAGCGAGTAATGAAGTCTTGTTTAAGAAGTTTCTAGATGAACTGGAAAATGAGGACAAAGAGGCCAGAGAATGGTTCAATCACCCTGAAAGGCCATTCAATACTTGGACTCGAGCATTATTTAAATGTCATACCAAATGTGACATGTTGTTGAACAATTTATGTGAAAGCTTCAACAGGTAATTAAGAATTTGCATTTCCTTATGCACTTTTATTTTTAATAATATACTAAGTTATACATATATTTTTTTAGATATATACTTGATGCTAGGGACAAGGCCATAATAACAGTGCTAGAAATGATCAAGAACAAGTTGATGAGGAGGTTGTTAAAAAAAAAAAGAGTGGATTGAGAGATACCAAGGGCCAATATGCCCTAAGATAGAAAAAAAGCTGTTGAAAATTAGGATGGAGGCAACAAAGTTTCAACCTGATTTTTCAGGAGGCCCTAGGGTCTTAGTTGAAGGTCCTGGAGGGCCATATATTGTTGATATGTCTGCCAAGACTTGTACTTGTAGAAGGTGGGATTTGACTGGATTGCCTTGTCATCATGGTGTGGTTAGTATTCTTGGCAACAATTGAGTTAATAGAAGATTATGTCATGGACTATTACAAAGTGGAAAACTACAAGAAAGTATACTCTTATTATATAAATCCTACTGGCTCTGAAGATCACTTGCTTGAGGTTGTAGGAGGTGGTGACATTCTCCCACCTAAGGTAGTCAAGAAAAAGATAGGGAGGAAGCATAAGGCTAGGAGAAAGGAGGCTGAAGAACTAGAAAAATAAAGAGAAGTTGCTGCTCAAAGTGCAAAGGAGAAGAGGGCTGAAAAGAAGAAACCTCAACGAATATCTAAGAAGGGTACTGTACAAGTTAGCTGCTCTATTTGCAAAGTGGTTGGGCATAATGCTAGAGGCCATAGTAAATATGCAAAAACAACTTCCTCTAGTTTTCCAAACCAACAACCACCTTCTCCAAATTCAAGTCAAGACCCTGCTCCAACCCAAAACGAAGACCCTGCTCCAAACCAAAACCAAGAAGAAAGAATAGACGTGGACCTCATCTTAACAAATCAATCAACTATAGAGGTAAATTAGTTTCAAACCTTTCATGGTCCTTTTTATGTGCTAGTTTTATTTTTTCTCAGGTGTTGTATTGTTTTATAGGATGTTGCTGAACAAGATGTTGTTGGGAGAGTTGTACATGGTCAAAAAATTGTGCAAGGTGACACTGACACTATTAAAGTATCCAAAAGAGGCGGGGTCAAGAAGAAAGTTATGCAAGATTATATGCAAGTTATGGTGAAGAAAAAGTGGAGACTCTCGAAGACAAAATAGGGATGTTTGTCTAAAATTTCTTGTCTTTTGTAAATGGCATACACTTAAATTGGCACAATATATTGTGTCTGCTTTTGTCTTTTGGTTGATGCACATTTTATTTGCTGTATTGCTTAGTAAGCAATATTTTGTTTAGTGGTGTTGCTCGTTGCTCGTTCTCCTACAAAAACAATTCTATTTTTCCATAAAAGTTTTTTCTAATTCCCAGGAATATTTTAATTTAAGATATTCACTGTTAGGTACTTCATTAGAATTAAATAATTGGTCATGGGATCTCTAAAGCACCTACCCATTATCACAAATAAGATACTTACCCAAGGAGAGAGGTCCCGGAATAACCGAATAACTGAAAAGAAAATAACATGATAATTTTTCCGCATTCATGAAGTTGTATAGTTTGTCGGTAAGCAGAATTATGAGAAGTATCGAATTTGGGGATGTTTTAATTTGTGGATATGGATATCGGGTCGAGTCATGAATATTTTTAATTGATTCATAATTTATTAGACTGAATTTAAAAAAAAATGGCAGAATACTAAAAACAACGGATAATCGTCTTTGCCGATGATTATGACTTTTTGAGTAGAGTAGTAAAAATTTTATGACTTTTGTATCAGAAAAAAAAGTTATATGACTTTGAAAAAATATCATAGTTATATAAAAATTGCCATTTCAACTAACAAGTTTTGTGGGCCGTTGGTTTAGGGCCATAGATAATTGTATATCATAACTTGTTATATAACCTTGGGAGAAATTCAAAAATAGCCAGATTTATAACTGGTCGTTCAAAAATAGTCCAGTTTCAAACGTAATCGAAATTTAGCCACTTTTCATATAAAGATAAATCTGAGCGAAAATACTGTTCAAAACCCGGAAAATATGCTAGTATATTATACTGGAGTTCCATCATAAGTATGCTTCAACTCCAGCATATTATACTGGAGTTGCAGGATAAGTATGCTGGAACTCCAACATAATATGATGGAGTTCCAGCATAAGTACGCTAGAACTCCAACATAATATACTGGAGTTCCAGCAAGTATAATTGTCCAATATAATATACTGGAGTTTGGAGCACCGGTGCTCCAAACTCCAGTATATTATATTGGACAATTATACTTGCTGGAACTCCAGTATATTATGTTGGACCGGTCTCTGTTGCAGCAAAATAGTGGCTATTTTTCATTGACTTCGTAACCATTTGCTATTTTTAAATGACCAGTCCGAAAACTGACTATATCGTGCTATTTTTACTATAACCTTTGATTGTTGAAATTTTACAAATTAGGAAATCGTTACCAATAGTTATTTAGAATGGTCAAATGCTATCTAGACTGATTAGACTTTCTTCTGAAAGTATACTATTTGTGAAGGTATGGCATCTTGAAAGGTTAGATGGTGTTGTGTTTTCCAATTTCTATTGTAAGAGATATTAATTNATATATATATATATTCTGTATGTTACATGAACAAAATAATAGTACAAATTATATACACATTTTCAGCTACAAGATATAAATAGTTTTTGGCACGTGCTAAAAATGAAAAAAGCCCATATTTTCTTGCTATGTAGTAGTAATCAGGGATAAATTTAAAAATAGCCGGATTTACAAGTGGTAATTAAAAAATAGTCACAGTTTCAAAAATAATCGAAATTTTGCCACTTTGCATGTAAAGATAAATCTGAACGAAAACACTGTTCAAAATCCGAAAAATATTTCAGCATAATATGTTGGAGTTCCAGTATAATATACTGGTCCAACATAATATGCTGGAAGTTCATACACAGGGGCTCCAATCTCTAGTATATTATGCTGGAACTTTCCGTGTGTTGGAGTTCCAGCATAATATACTGAAAGTTCATACATAGGTGCACAAATCTCCAATATATTATGCTCGAACTTTTCTGTTGCAACAAAATAGTGGCTATTTTTCAGTAATTTTGCAAATGCTAGCTATTTTTCAATTACCAATCCGAAAACTGGCTAGCCCATGCTATTTTCACTAGTAACCAGGCCTATCCAGTAAGGAGTGGTTTTACACCATTCTTCCTTTATCATCAAACTACATTTCATCCCAATTATCCAGATAACTTTTTTCTGATAAAGTTTTGCAAAATAGCTAGCAGATTTTTTTCAAGATAAACCAACACAACTAGCACCTAAAATATTAAATTCATGCAATCCAGAACAAGCCTTATACTGTTACTATTAGTAAAAACAAAAGATTGGGTGTTAACTGGACCTCTAGGAGCCCCATTTGATTAGTAATAATTTTATGGGAGAAATTTAATAATAGCCAAATTTACAAGTGATCATTTAAAATAGCTATAATTTTAAAAGTAATCGAAATTTAGTCACTTTTTATATAAAGATAAATCTGAACGAAAATACTATTCAAAATCTGGAAAATACTCCAGCATAATATACTGGAGTTTGGAGCACTAGTGCTCCAGTCTTCATTATACTGCAACCAGCAAAGCATACCGGTCCAGCATAATATGCTGGAAGTTCATATACAGGTGCACCGAACTCTAATATATTATGCTGGACCTGTCTCTATTGCAGCAAAGTAGTGACTATTTTTAATAATTTGGCAAACGCTGGCTATTTTTGAACGACTAGTCCGGAAACTGGCTAGACTGTGCTATTTGACAATTTTAAGACATATAGGTCAATTTCACGATAAGAAAATTATTTTGTACAAGAAACTGACTTATGTCTCCCTTGATTTTTTGGCTTATAACACATATATCCTTGTAATTTCAAATGTTACAAAAATCGTTCTCTAAAGTTTTATATAATAGTCTATAATCAATTTATGAGTGGACACATAATTTACACCATAATATATCATTTACAGTGCGGCAAATACACGAGTAAACTTATCTTTGTTCCATTGTAAGATACATTACTAATTGAGGAGTTCAACACCGTTCTTTGTTTGGTACAGTATTTTAAATTTTTTAAAATTATTTCTAACAATAAAATATTGTAACTTAAGAGTACCTACTGTGTAGATAAATTCTATCTACAAAAAAAAAAGGAAACAGATGCTCGATTTCAACTAAAACTTAGCCGTTTTATCTCGTAATTCCTCAATCTTTTTTTCCTTAAAAAATGGAGTAAATAGAAGAATTAATCTAAATAGCCGCCCATCTAATCGCCTAAACTAAAAATAATTGACGGATACATAATATATATTGCAAAATGTTTTTAGATACACTGCAAATGTTTTTAGATAGGAATTTTTGCATTCCTATACACTATATGAAACTATATTACCCTCACTACTCATGTTTTACTATAATTACATTTTATATACCTAATTATCATTTATGTACATTTTAAGGGAATTAGTGATAATAATTATTGTCCTAAAATTACTCTAACGTATTTTACACACCCCACGTTTCTCTCTCCACATCCCCTCCCCCACGTACCACCCTCTCCCACGTATCACTCTAAATCTTTCTTTACTTTCAAATATAGTCGTCGTAAGAAAAAAAACATTTCATAATTCTCCATTAGTTTTAGCTCCTTTTTTCGTTTGTCTCATAACAGTTGTGAACTTTAGAATTTCGATAAAGGTCCTCTGACCTCTGGTATAAGGAGACTGTTATTTAAAACTACTATTTTTGTTTGTTTTTCTTTTTTACCGTTTTCTAGTTTAAGCACAAACAAACAAACATTAAAAATTATAGATACAACCTTAGTAATTTTTTCTTTAATTAGTTCATTCCGGCATGAATGACACCTTTTTAATTTAAAAATAACATAACTTGAACTTTTCATCTTATTATATAATTCACCCTAAAAAAATTATTTGTTTGAATTAGGTATTATTGCAAAGAATTGAGAATTCTCTATATGTCTCTCTCTATCTCTTAATTCCTAATTTCAGTAATGTAAAGCAAAGAAAAGAGAGTAGCAATTCCATCATTGACATCAATTAAAAAGCTCTGAAGCTTTGACTTCGAATTTGGGTTTTGAAAAATCATTATTTGTTTGGACTGAGTGTTGTTACAAACAATTAGGAATATGGTTTGGAGTTTATATCTCAATTTTGAGGGTGTTTCGGTGAAGATTACACTTGATTTGGCTGAATTTCATATTGAAACTCGAAGAAGAAGAAGACATGATATACATTATATTTACGAAATTGTAGTAAAATTGTAGGAAAATTATAGAAAAAATGTATTTTATATATATATATATATATATATATATTATTTTACTATTGTATGAAAGTTGAACAATATTGTATAAAAATTATATTTAAGTTGTATGATTTACCATGTATAAATCAGATACAAAATATACAAAAGACATATTGTATAAATTTTGTATAAAATCAAACAAACATTAAAATTATAGATACAACCTTAGTTTTTTTCTTTAATTAGTTCATTCCGACATGAATGACACCTTTCTAATTTAAAAATAACATAACTTGAACTTTTCATCTTATTATATAATTCACCCAAAAAAAATTATTTGTTTGAATTATGTGTTATAGCAAATAATTGGGAATTCTCTCTACTTCTCTCTCTATCTCTTAACCTCTAATTTCAGTAATCTAACGCAAAGAAAGAGAGAGCACCAATTCCACCATTGACAGCCATTAAAAAGCTTTGAAGCTTTGAATTTGAGTTTTGAAAAATCATTATTTGTTTGGATTGGATGTTGTTGCAAACAATTAGGAATATAGTTTGGAGTTTATATCTCAATTTTGAGGGTGTTTCGGTGAAGATTACGATTTTGGCTAAATTTCATATTGAAACTCGAAGAAGAAGAAGAAGAAGAAGAAGAAGAAGAAGAAGAAGAAGAAGAAGACATGATATACATTATATTTACGAAATTGTAGTAAAATTGTAGGAAAATTGTAGAAAAATTATATTTAAAGTTGAACAATGTTGTATAAAAATTATATTTAAGTTGTATGATATTGTAGTTGTATATAACTGAGTAGAAATAATGTAAGAAAATTGTAGATAACTTGTAGATAAATTATATAATATATAATTAGTTGTATGAAATTTATTTTTGCCATGTATAAATCAGATACAAAATATACAAAAGACATATTGTATAAATTTTGTATTTAAGTTGTACGATTTTGTAGTTGTATATAACTGAGTAGAAATAATATTTGAAAATTGTAGATAAGTTATAAGTAAATTGTATAATATATAATTAGTTGTATGAATTTGTTTTTACTATGTATAAATCAGATACAAAATATACAAATGACATATTGTATAAATTTTGTATTTAAGTTCAAACAGGATGATAGTTTTGTTTTCTTAGTACTGCCTAATATCCACTAAGCTGGATTCATGATTTGACCAGTTTAATCACCAAACAGCGTAAAAATTCAATATTGGTGTTTATAGTGTAAAACACAAGCGAATTAAGGGTCCTCGGTAACAATAATCTGTTCAATTCTACTGATCTCATGGCCTTATACAAATGAGACTTAAATTTAGGGGTGTGTATCATCCAGATAAAATCGAAAAGCAAAATTGAATGGAAACAATTAATTGGTTTATTGTTTGATTTCGGATAACTTTAATTTTTTTTCATTTTTTGGAGTTTTTGGTTTGTATATTTGGATCTTCGAAAAATCAAATTACTCATAATATAAGTTTGCTATTGTTCTTTAGCATTTAAATATCTTATGTCGTTAGAACGTTAGTGTTTCACAACTTTATATGGTCCTAAATATGTCTTTCTGCAGTATTTCTCTGTCTTCAAATCTTTTCATTTGCAAAATCTAACATGTACTAAGATTTTATTTGTTGTATATATATATATATATTACTTTAAAAATCATATATGGCTGAAAGAATGATAGTAGAAGGAGCTCCATTTCTCAGACTAATTCTTTCTTTACTTGAGTTATTTTCTAAAATTTACGATTTTCGTTGTCAAATTGCTACTATAATAATTATTGTGGAGAAAAAAAGAATGCATGAGATCAAACCTAGAGACTGTTTGGGCAGATAACCTCGACGCCCAATTAGAATAGTTATTAAGTGAGCTAATTAATTAATGTTAATAAGAAAAAGTCGAGATTCGAAAGGATATTCCAGCGTAAGATTGCGTCCAAACTGATAAAAGATTTAAAGTATAGTTTAGTAGTTGGCAGAAAAAGACTTTGTAAACCTAAAACTAAGAGATGTTTATCCACACACTGTAATGTTAAGATAAGGAAAACATATTGAAGATATATTTATTAAAAGTCACGCAAAAAATTATTTGGAGTGTGGGTGGAAGATCAAGAGAGAAAAGGGGAAAGAGGAGAGAAAAAAGGGAAAAGGGTGTAACTACACACCTTGATTGAAGGCACAAATAATGGATTGAGAGCCTTTTAAGGTGGATTGTATAAATTTTGTAAACAAAACTTGTTTATGCAGTAATTAACTAAACATAAACATTAAGGGTAATAAAGTTTCAAAAAGTGTATAAGAATGAAAAAATCCCTTTTAGATACACTACAAATTAGTTATGTCGAAGTTTCAAGCCCAATTGAGGAGGCCCATCAGTTGGACAAACTTCAGGGCAAGTGCACATATAGCCATTCTCAAAAATGTTATTTAAAGATTAGACAATATTTATTTTTTATAATATTTTAAACTAAAAATCTTAACCTTCAGAACAATTCATGATATTTTTGTTTTGAAAATTGAACTGAAATATTGAAATTCAAAATATACTAAATAGTAGTCATTTAAAATGGCTAGCTAATGTCATTTCTACACAAACTTCACATAACAGCTCCTCAAAAGCCGAGCCCAACTACATAACACGTGTGACATAAAGATAACATCGTCGCACGTGCGAGATTTCAAAAAAGTAGCTAGGGTTAAGGACGGCGTTCTCGGGCAGGGCAGCACTGGGATTTTCCTGCCCGTTGGTTTCGTTCCCCTCTACAAAAACAAAATAAGCTCGACTTATACCATCCCGCTTCTTCCCATCATTCGAAATACACCGCCCACCCCCACCCCTCATCTCTCTCGCTATCTCTCTCTCTCTATATAAATATAATATATACATACACAACATTTTTGTGATTGAGTGATTCACCAGTGTTGTGCTCTTCAATTTCTTCACTCGAAGAAAAGGATAGAGTGAGTGAAGACAGAGAGAGGAATAAAAACCCTAGCTCGTGGGTTTTAGTTTCGTCTATCGAAATCGAGGCATTTGAATACTGGGTCAGTATTATTAAGAATAGTTATGTGTTATTTTTCTTTTAGATTGTATAGTATGTACATTGATAGATCGATTCGATTTAATTTTCTTGTTAGGGTTTAAGGTTATTTAATTTCATTTTCCTGCTGTGGCTTAATGTTTGCTTTAGTATATATCGTTAATCTATTTATTTTGCTTCTTTTTAGCTTCCTAGTTGATTATAGATGTAATTGTTATGCTTTTTAAAACTGTGTTATAACTGGTGCTTAAATTCTTAGTATTGGAATAAAAGGTGCCCGCGATAGAGTGGAATTGATATATAGAGGATTCATACAGACATACCCGACACAGTTCAAAAATAAACTTAAGGAAAGGCTTATATAAAATAAAGAGGTTCAAAACAAGTTACATGCTCGTGATGCACAACAACTAATAAGAAAACCTGATGGATTGATGTTTTGTTTAAGCTATGTTTACTGTTCAATGTTAAGTTGAATGGCTAAAGAAAAATGTATATGTTCACAAAGACTGTTAAAATGTCAAGTCCTAAACAGATAACTGATAGGTAGAAAAAAGTAGTTGAATTATATGATTTGGGAGTAGTTGTTTTTGTTTGAAGTACTTGAGTGGGGGAGGGAGGTGGGGGTGTGTATGAATATATGTTATGGTTTTTCAGTTTATTGTGCACCTGATGTGTTTCGTTTGAAGCACATGTGAAATCACTGGGATGCTTTGGAAGCAAAGAAGTTCTGTGTTCCATTAAAGGACACTTTTTGATGCCAAGCATACACAAATTGTTCCTTGGTCTGCTTAATTTTGCGTTAAAGCTTCTTGAATTCGTCTGAAGTTCATGTCTGTGTTAAGGCTGCTTGACACATGTGGAATAAAATAGAAATAACAAAGTTCTGTGTTCAATCAAGGGATACCTTTCCTTTGAATTCATTTTGTTATGGATTAAGGGATCATTTGATTTGAAACAAGGTTATCCTGGGAATATTAACCCGTATCCAATATGGGATATCTAATATGAAGTTTGGCTATAAAATTTATACAGGTATTAGTTAATACCCGCAAATAAACATGGGATATATATAATCCGAAGTTCTATATCAGAATTAGTATCCTTATCCTGGTAACCAAACGACCCCTAACAGAATATTGAATTGATCCATTACTGTTGCCAAGCACTTCAAAATGTTGTCCACAATTTTGTTATTTAAATGGAAATGCAACTTAACTAGCTTTTGATTTACCTCTCTCCTTGCTCTTATGTCCTAGAAGGAGTGTTCTACTTCTCTGTAATACGTACCTAATTTTTAGATTATCCATAAATTCTAGAATTTTCCATTGTGCCTAATTGGGACCTGTAATAGTTGTTAGCCCTAAAGAAAAGGGAAGAAGAAGAAGAAAGAGAGAAGTATTTGGATTTTCAGATTTGGGAGTAGTTTCTGTTTGAAGTATGAAGTATCTGAGTAGGAAGTTCTGTACCAATATCAATTATGAGTCTTCGGTTTCTTGTGCGCCTGAAATGTTTTGTCTAAAATTCATGCATGGGAAATGGTTGGGATGCTTCGGAATAGAAGAAGTCTTAATGTGCTCAATCAAAGACTCCTTTGGCGCTAAGCATCCATACATTGAGCACCTGGTTTACTTAGTTTTGTGTAAAGGCTGCTTGATGTCATGTTTTTTATGAGGGACTTATAGAATACGAGAATAGTGAATAGCTCTGTTTTGCTGATGCCAGTACTTCAAATTTACAATTGATTTCTTTAACTGTTAAAACGGAAATGCAATTTAACTAGCTTTCTGATCTTACCACTCTCCTTGCCTCCTATGTCCTAGGAGAACTCTTTTTCTCTTTGAATGACTTGCTAATTTTTAAATATGTGGATTCTAGAATTTCCACAGCACCTCATGTTTTCTTTTGGGTTTAATATGTAGGAGAAATGGCTCTCGACATCACTCAGTTTCTATTGGCTGCTCAATCAGCAGATGCTAAGATTCGTTCTGAGGCAGAGACTGGTCTTGGTCAGTTCCAAGAACAAAACCTACCAGGCTTTCTTCTGTCATTGGCTGCTGAGCTCTCCAATGATGGAAAACCCACTGAATCTCGAAGACTGGCTGGTATTGTGCTTAAGAACTCACTAGATGCAAAAGAATCTGCTAGGAAAGAACAGCTTGTTCAACAATGGCAGGCAATTGATGCTCAATGTAAATCTCAAATTAAAAGCTTGCTCTTGAGCACCCTAGGTTCGTCTGTGCGTGAGGCAAGTCATACTGCTGCCCAAGTAATTGCAAAGGTGGCTTCGATTGAAATTCCCCAGAAACAGTGGCCAGAGCTCATTGGGTTGTTGCTTGTTAACATGACCAAACAAGGCAGGCCTCCGTCCCTGAAACAGTCAACACTTGAAACACTTGGCTATGTGTGTGAGGAGATATCGCACCAAGATCTTGTCCAAGATGAAGTAAACTCTGTTCTCACTGCTGTTGTGCAAGGTATGAATGTTGAGGAGCAAAGCCCTGAAGTACGTCTTGCTGCTACTAGGGCTTTATATAATGCTCTTGATTTTGCTCAGACAAACTTTGGTAACGAGATGGAGAGGAATTTTATCATGAAGGTCGTCTGTGAGGCAGCCATTGCAAAGGAGACAGAGATTAGACAGGCTGCATACGAGTGTCTTGTTTCTATTGCATCAACATACTATGAGTTGCTTGAACCTTACATGCAGGCTGTCTTTGAGTTGACAGCAAAAGCAGTCAGAGAAGATCAGGAGGCTGTTGCTCTTCAAGCAATTGAGTTCTGGAGTTCTATCTGTGACGAAGAGATAGAATTGCAAGACTATGAGGTTCCTGACAGTGGGGATTCTAGTGTGCAACACTCTCGCTTCATTGAGAAGGCCCTCCCAACACTTGTTCCAATGCTGCTGGAAACATTATTGAAGCAGGATGAGGAACAGGACCAGGATGATGATATTTGGAATCTGGCTATGGCTGGTGGAACATGTCTTGGTCTTGTTGCCAGGACTGTTGGAGATGCTGTTGTTCCCCTGGTAATGCCTTTTGTTGAGGCTAATATATTGAAGCCTGATTGGCGCTCACGTGAGGCTGCAACATATGCATTTGGCTCAATTCTTGAAGGCCCAAGCATTGAGAAGCTCTCTCCCATGGTCCATGCTGGATTAGATTTTCTTCTTAAGGCGATGAAGGATGAAAACAGCCATGTAAGAGATACCACTGCATGGACACTTAGCCGTATTTTTGAGTTTCTGCACACACCATCTTCTGGGTTCTCAGTGATTTCGCCAGCCAACCTCCAGCAGATTGTCGGAGTGTTGTTAGAGAGTTTAAAAGATGCCTCCCATGTTGCCGAGAAAGTTTGTGGGGCTATCTATTTTCTTGCACAGGGATATGAGGATGGTGGGCCAAGCTCGTCTTTGCTCACACCATATATTCCTGAGATTATCACCTCTCTTATTTCCACAGCTGACCGGACTGACAGCAGTGATTCTAAGCTCAGAACTAACGCATATGAAACATTGAATGAAGTTGTTAGGTGCTCTAACCTTGTTGAAACATCTGATATCATTGCGAAGCTTTGCCCGGTTATCATGGCTAAGTTGGCACAAACAGTAGAGCTTCAGATTGTATCCTCTGATGATAGGGAAAAGCAGGGAGATTTGCAGGCTTCCCTTTGTGGTGTACTCCAGGTTATCATTCAGAAGCTTAGCAATGCTGATGAAACTAAGCCCATTCTACTTCAGGTTGCCGACCAGATCATGATGTTGTTCCTAAAGGTATTTGCTTGTCGTAGCTCGACGGTGCATGAAGAGGCCATGCTTGCCATTGGCGCTCTGGCCTATGCAACTGGACAGGAGTTCTTGAAGTATATGCCAGAATTCTACAAATATCTGGAGATGGGGCTGCAAAATTTTGAAGAGTACCAGGTGTGTTCCATCTCGGTGGGGGTTGTTGGTGACATTTCCCGTGCCTTGGATGACAAGATCTTACCATATTGTGATGGGATGATGGCACTTCTTCTGAAGGATCTGTCTAGCGGCGAACTTAACCGATCTGTAAAGCCTCCGATATTTTCCTGCTTTGGGGATATTGCTCTTGCCATTGGTGAACACTTTGAGAAATACCTCCAATATGCATTGCCTATGATGCAAGGTGCTTCCGAATTATGTGCACAGTTAGACAACAGTGATGAGGAAATGCTAGAGTATGGCAACCAGCTCAGGCGCAGTATTTTTGAAGCATATTCAGGGATTCTTCAAGGATTTAAGAATTCCAAGGCTGACTTGATGTTACCCCATGCTCCTCATCTCCTGCAGTTCATTGAACTGGTTGCTAAGGACAAACCAAGGTAATTTAGTTCGATCTTAGTGACGTCTTCTTATTATGTCTCTGCAGCTTATTAATTCTAACAAGTGTATTGATTTTTTGCAGAGATGAAAGCGTGACCAAAGCAGCGGTTGCTGTGTTGGGAGATTTAGCTGATGCACTTGGTCCAAATATAACCACCCTTTTCAAAGATCGAGTTTTCTGCGCCGAGTTGTTGGGCGAGTGTCTTCAATCTGATGATGAACAGCTCAAAGAAACAGCAACTTGGACCCAAGGGATGATTGGGCGTGCCTTCTCTGTTTGTGGGTGAAGAAAGAGCTGCTTCAAAGTATCAGTTTGTAAGGGAGTCATGTATTTTCCTTCGTCTCAACAGGGGCAAACGTGTCTGGTCATCGTGTCGTAGATTTTTATGACGATGAAATTCTTTTCATTGTTGGGGTATATACCCAAAGGGGGTCAGTTCTTTTCTCTGTAGTTTCAAGGATTAAGACCACCTACTTGTGGTAGCCTGCTGTCATTTTGGACGTTGTCTAGTTCTATACATTACATATAATGGAGGTTTAGTTAGGTAATCTTCTTGTAACTTAATTCTCACTCCATCACAAGGCTCTTTCCGAAATACCAAAAAATCGTATTTGGAATCGTTTCCATCTTTTACAAATCATGCTTATTCTTCGTCTAAAACGATTATCGTATAGTGTTGGAATCTGTTGTGCATTTCTTCTTTCTAATATAGACCACTGAACTAGCTTTCATTGATTGATGCAGTGAATGAAATAGCTTCTGAAAAGAAAAGAAAAAGAAACATCTAAAACTTTGGAGCGTAACCTGAAGCAATTGCTGACAACACAGTTCTAGCTTCATATGAAAAATTAGCTGTAAACTTCTAGCTATTTCTTTTGCTCAACACCCAGCCTTTTTGGGGCTACTAATGTCAGTGGATTAGTTAACAAGACTTAATTTAGTTCTTAATTTCAAGGTGTATCGCTAACCAAGTACTGATAATTATAGATTTCACTACGCGAAGAATCGCAGACTTAACAAGAATTCCACATCACAGCTTCTAAATTCCTGCCATTTAAAAACAGACAGACAAAAAAGTTGCTCTTCTCCACCACCACCACGGCACAAATTGTGGAATCCCAAATTAAAGTTGCCTCTGATTCGTCACAGAAAAATGGTGAAATGGCCCTTTATAAGCTGCTCTTCTCCACTGAGGCACAATCTGCTACTGATTGAAATCCTAGAAAGCTGGCAATCAGTTCTTAGATTTCAGTAACTAGAAGCTTTTGTCTTTATATATTTGCTTCAGCCTAAAGTAACAAAATTTAGTAAATGAGAATAATGAATAGATATATGTACCAGAGAAAGGGGAGCCTTGAAGCAACGGCAAAGTTGTCTTCTTGTGATCAACAGGTCACCGATTGGAGCCGTGGAACCAGTCACTAATGCATACGTTAGGGTAGATTATCTCTATCGATGCGGCCATTCCCGAACCCTGCGTTAACACGGGATGCTTTGTGCGCCGACTATGCTTGCGTAGGATAGACTGTCTATATCACACCCTTTAGGGTGAGACCCTTTCCACACCCTGCGTGAGCGCGTGATGCTTTGTGCACCGGGCTACACTTTTGTTAGCGGAAACGTAAAAGAAAGAACAGAAGATTTAACGTGGTTCGGATCAAAATAATCCTACGTCCACCAGAGAACAGTTGCCTTTTTAATATTAACAAAGGAAGGGGAGAGTTCCCAATTACACTTAAGAGAATTTCTCTCTTAACTCTCTACTCACTACAATGTGTTGTATTATTTTTGGGATGGTTTCTACAAATGAAGGAGTGCATCTATTTATAGAGGTAAAGACCTCCTCTTGATGTCATTGGTGACATCAAACTACCTCCTCTTGATGTCATGGGTGACATCAAAGGAGGAAGCTTCCTCCTAGCATCCATACCAACTCTTTCCACCAACTCTTCCAATTGGCATGCCATTGTTGACTAAACATAAACTAACACCTTCAATCTCCACCTTGGTTTGCGTTTCGAGCGTGCGCGTGAACTACTCTGGCCAAAACTTCTAAGCTTACTGGGCAACCCCGTTGTAAGAAACAAGAAGAATCAAACCATTGTTGAACATACCACCTCCACCTAACAACTGTTCTCTTCGGAGTTGCATTAGTTGATGCACACCTTCGCCAAGTCCTTGCAGTGTGCAAACTTAGCGAGTGGGACTATCTTGGTCAACATATCTGTAGCATTATCGTCTGTGATAACCTTCACGACCTTGATAGTTCCCTCTTCAACAACATCTCGAATAAAATGAAATCTGACATCAATGTGTTTAGTGCGCTCATGAAATCTCTGATTTTTCATTAGATGAATAGCACTCTGACTATCACATCTAAGAGTTGATTCCAGCTGAACCAAACTCAATTCCGCTACTAAACCTTTCAACCAGATAGCTTCCTTCACCGCCTCCGCTGCTGCCATGTATTCTGCTTCTGTCGTAGACAAAGCGGCAATCGACTGCAGAGTCGACTTCCAACTAACGGCACTGCCAACGAGGGTAAAGATGTATCCAGTTGTGGACCTTCTTCTGTCAAGATCTCCTGCATAGTCAGAATCTACATAACCGAGAATTGAAATACCTCCACCACTTTTTCGAAAGGTCAGACCAACACCAGAAGCTCCTTTGAGATATCTCAATATCCACTTGACAGCTTCCCAATGCCTCTTTCCTGGGCTGGATATGTATCTACTAGATTGAGAAATATCTGGACGTGTGCATACCATAACATACATAATGCTACCAACTGCACTGGCATAAGGAATCTTTGACATATGCTCCACCTCATCCTCGGACTGAGGCATTTGTAACTCTGAAAGTTTAAAATGAGGAGCTAATGGTGTACTTACAGGCTTGCACGTATGCATATTGAATCTCTCGAGAACCCTTTCAATATACCTCTTCTGAGAAAGATGTACAACACCGTCTTCTCTTGAAATCTCCATACCAAGGATTTTCTTTGCAGCTCCTAAATCCTTCATGTCAAATTCCTTACTCAACAGTTTCTTCAAAGCATTTATCTCTGTAATGTTGTTAGCAGCAATACGCATATCATCAACATACAACAATAAATAAATCGTTGAGTTACCAAACATCTTCTTGTGATACACACAACTATCAAATGCACTCCTTGAGAATTCACGTGTAGTCATGAATGCATCAAACCTCTTGTACCACTGTCTAGGGGATTGCTTCATACCATACAAAGACTTCTTTAGCTGGCATACGTGATATTCTTTTCCCTCAGCTAGGAAACCTTCAGGCTCATCCATATAGATTGTCTCTTCTAGATCACCGTGTAAGAAAGCAGTTTTGACATCAAGCTGTTGAAGCTCCAAGTCAAATTGTGCAACCAATGCTAGTAGCACGCGAATTGAGCTATGCTTCACGACCGGAGAGAAAATCTCATTGTAGTCAATTCCCTCCTTTTGGCTGAATCCTTTTGCAACCAATCTCGCCTTGAACCTAGCATCTTCCACTTCAGGAATTCCCTCTTACTTTCGGTAGACCCACTTGCATCCAACTGTCCTCTTCCCCTTTTGTCTTTTCACTAAGACCTTTGTCTGATTCTTGTGAAGAGACTCCATCTCTTCAGTCATGGCTAACCGCCATTGTACAACATCCTTGCAAGAAGTTGCTTAAATATACGAGGAGGGCTCCAGATCCTTAATCTCTTCTTGTGCAGCTACGAACGCATATGCAATCAAGTTTGCTTGATCTATAAGGCGTTCCGGTTATCGTGTTTGCCTCTTCTCCCTCCCCTTTGCAATTGTGTATGGTTCACTGACAACAAGTTCTTCAAGGTCTACATCTTCTGACTCATCTTTAATCTCTTGATCCTTTTCCTTGGCAAGCTCCACCTGCTCGTCGTTCTTATTTCCTGAAAACTCCACGGAAACTTTACGGGGATCAAGTATAGAAGATTCATCAAAGGTGACATCTCTACTAACTATAAATTTGAGTAAAGACAAACACCAAAGTTTGTACCCTTTTACTCCATCCACATACCCTACGAATATGGCCTTCTTAGCCCTTGGTTCAAGCTTTCCTTCATTAATGTGATACTAAGCTAGACACCCAAATACTCGTAAGTATGAATAGTTAGAGGGTTCACCTGACCATACCTCATTCGGAGTCTTAAAGTCAATTGCCGATGCTGGAGATCGATTGACAATATGAGCAGCAGTGTGAACTGCTTCAGCCCAAAATACTTTGGACATTTTGGCTTGTAGGAGCATACAACGAGCCTTTTCAAGAAGAGTTCTGTTCATTCTCTCGGCAACTCCATTCTGCTGTGGGGTATGCCTGACAGTCCTATGTCTTGAGATCCCATGAACCTTGCAGAATTCATTAAACTCTTCATTGCAAAACTCCAAGCCATTGTCTGTGCGAAGATACTTGATTTTCCGCTCCATTTGATTTTCAACCAAAATCTTCCACTCTTTAAATGCTTCAAAAGCATCACTTTTTGCCTTCAAAAAATGCACCCAAACCTTTCGTGAGAAATCATCAATAAAAGTGAGAAGATACCTCTTTTTGCCCTTCGATGGAAGTTTAGAAGGACCTCATAAATCTGAATGGATGTAGTCTAGCACTCCTCTTGTCTTGTGTTTGTTAGTGCTGAAGCTGACCTTCTTTTGCTTCCCTAGAACGCAGTGCTCACAGAAGTCAAGTGTGCTGATCTTCTCACCTTCCAAAAGGTTACGATTGCTCAACATCTCCAGTCCACGTGCGCTCATATGACCAAGTCTCATGTGCCATAGTCTTGCCTTGTCATCATTAGATAACTGCACTGTAGATGCATTTGCAGAGCCAACAATAGTGCTTCCGGCCAATGTGTAAAGGCCGTTCTCCAGCTTGCCTTTCAGCATGACTAAAGAACCTTTAGTCACCTTTATAGTTCCTGCTTCGCTCATGTACCTGTAGCCTTGTTCATCCAGAGTACTCAGGGAGATCAAATTCTTCTTCAGATCAGGAACATGACGGACTTGTGTAATAGTCCTCACGATTCCATCATGGCAGCGAACCCGAACTGAGCCAATGCCAACTATTGCACAAGTTGCATTATTGCCCATTACTACGGTTCCTCCACTTTTCTCATAGCTGCTAAACCAGTCTTTTCGGAACGTCATATGCAGAGTGCAAGCAGAGTCTAACACCCATTTGTTTCCATAACTACTATTATTATTACACGATGTTGTTAGTACATAATCATTATCAAAATCATGTACCTGTTCAACTGTGGATGCACTCGCCTTTTCCTTGGACTTTGACATTGGACAGTCTCGTTCAAAGTTCCCTTTCTTGCCACAACCCCAACACTCTGTATTCTTCTTATTCACACGAGACTTTGATCTGTGCTTTGATTTGCTCTTTCCCTGTTGGCTAGTCCGGCTTCTCACAAAGAACCCACTTGCCTGATCATCTCTATCTCCTTCAATGTGCCTCCGCACATCACTAAAGTTAAGTGCCTGCCGCACTTGCTCAAGCTTGATAGACTCCTTGCTATACATCATTGAATTCTCAATATCACGATATCCTGAAGTCAATGAAAATAGCAAAGCACATAAAAGNAGA